GCAGAGCGTTCCGCACCATTCTCGGGGCACACTACACAAGCTACACGGACGCTTGTCACACCCTAGGCCTCACGACGTTGCACCAAAGACGCGAACACCTGTGTGAGACTTTCGCTAAAAAGCTCCTACAGTCAACCTGCTTCCGTGAGTGGCTACCTCCCTGCCGAGGAGAGATTAGCGGTAGAAAGACACGCAACAGCTCCCACTTGGACACTGTCAAAACAAAAACCGAACGCTACAAAAAAAGTCCTATACCTTACATGGTAGCACTACTTAATATGTCTTAGTCGTTTACCGAAATATTGTAAATAGTTTTTTATGCCTGCTGACTGTGGTTTTAATCTTCTTAAAAATGAATTTTTAGCCTTTATGGTAATAATGACAGATATTTTATTGATGACTGCTCCGAGAATATATTCCGCACGATGTAAAGCATTATTAACTAGTTGATCGTAAGTACAGTAACCTTTATTCAAATATGAGTAATTTCAAATACCTGGCGAATTTCCGTGTAATAATGTTTTAGTGACTGAATATCAGTAAATCATGAGTTAACTATTGTATAACCAGTGTAATTCAGCGCGCAATTTTGTGCGCTGCGAAACTGTGGTTTTGTTACTGTGAGAAAGAAATAAACCAATCACTACCACTACTACTACCACATCTTATACCCCTTTGTACAACATTCACAGAACAGGGGGACAAGAGGCAACTAAAATTTTAAATTACACGGGTTACGTATGGCCCGCTATTACGGTAACGTGTCTCTGACGCCAGGTTCCAAGTGTAGACGGGTCCATTCCGTGCGTCATACAAAAACGGTAGGCATCATCGATTTACAATAAGCCATATATATCCTGGTTGGTGATAACTACATTTTATACTCCTTCCGTACAATAGTCACAGAACCGGGGATAAGACGCAACGAAAATTTCAAATTACACGGGTTACTGCCAATTAAAAAAAAAAGAAATCAGAAATATAGGACTTTCGGAAACGTGTTTGGATCTATATGTATTAAAACTGAATTGCTGAATCACACCTACCCTGAACAGAGACGGGGGCGACACAAGTTATCTGGCACGTATGACCCGCTAATACGGTAACGTGTCTCTGGCACGAGTCCATTCCGTGCGTCATACAAAAACGGTGGGCATCATCGATTTACAATAAGCATAATATTATATATCCTCGTTGGTGATAACTACATTTTATACTCCTTTTGTACAATAGTCACAGAACCGGGGAAAAAGACGCAACCAACATTTCAAATAAAAACAATTATTGAAATGAAAGAAAGACATTTATTGTATGTTTGTGATCTAACAAGCTAAATACAGATCAAGAGTAAACAGGGAAAAGAATACAGCAATGACACTTAAACTATACATACTGAAGTGATCTACTATTTACAGGTTCAACTTTCAACTTCTCGCTTCCTGAGGCAGTTGTAAATGTAAGAACATATATATTGGGCTAATGATACATTGTCAAGTTTCATAAGGACTGCGAATTTTTCTATTTTGTCTAAATGTCTAAAGTTTGGGAACTTATCTATCATAGACGTATAGAGGGAATCCCTCCCATTTTTATTTTTAAATCTCGAATGTGTATTTTGGTTGCGATTGCCTTGTGGTTAAATAGATACACCAACAACAACAACGGCAGCAACAAAATTACTATAAAGTACCAAGGGTACGACTTTTAAATTCGATTGATTTCCTACGCCGACTCCGCTCAGTCTTCCCCACCCACGTGCTCTCAACCTATCTTGAAAATGCTATAATGCACCCTCAAGTGATTTTGCGATTTTGTTGTAATTTAAATTACTATGATTATTGTTATGGTTAATGATTTATTATTCAATAATTGTTATGATTATTGTTATGGTTTTAAGTATTATGATTGTTTTATGACCAGTGATTTGTTATGATTTGAATTATTGTGTAAGAGCTGGTTCATTGCATTGTATGTATGTTGTTTTGATATATGAATAAAAATACAATGAATATTACGATGTAAACATTTATTATATGGCCCCGTTATTGGTTAACCAGCCACATAGAATTCTATGGCTAAACAAATTATGAAATTATGACCTTACTCTTCGCAGTTTGTCATAAAACCTCTCATTTTTGGCTGGCAGGCATTCTATTGTGTACGCTACATTTAACATAAATATTATGCTGTTATTAGCTTGGTAACGATTAAGAATGAGCATATGGTAATTAATGTTCACCTTGTCCTTAGATTACCTAATGTTCACTCGATCGTCTTTCACGGCCAGATAAGCATAACGATAGAAATGATTTAGTAGCATTTAAAATATACGTTCAAAACAAATCGCGATATAAGTACCAAACTGAGAATTCAGGTTTACAATTTGATGCTGTTGCTATGAATGCAAAATAAACCTAACAGAAAAAATAATGTTGAGATCAAATACCCATTAATGCATATCTGTTTTCCATGACGCAAATCATGCCTACATGTACATGTTTTATTAATGTATGTGTATTTGGTATGTAAGTTGAGCAATAAATGGTTATGAAAATAAGCATATGCTGTTTAATATGTTCACCTTGTCCTTAGATTACCTAATATTCACTCGACCATCTTTCACGACCAAATAAGCATAACAAGAAAAATGATTTGGTAGCATTTAATATAAAGAATTATTAAAAACAAATAGCTATATAATTATCGAACGGAAAATTCAAGTTTACAATTTGATGTTGTTGCTATAAATGCTTAATAAACATTGATAAAAAAAATCATGTTGAGATCAAATACCCATTAATATATATCTGTTTTCCATGGTGCAAATCATACCTACATGTACATGTTTTTATTAATGAATGTGTATTTGGTATGTAAGTGGGGTAATAACTGGTTATTAAAATGAGAGCCGTTGGATCCTTTAAGTCAATATGTTCAATTATGCATGACTGGATGACTGGTGCCGGTGTGGCATTTTGTGATGAATATTTTTCCAGCTGTTATATTATTCACGCAGCACTGATTGAAGATTGAGGTCATTGACCGGGTCTGTCATGGTAAAGTGTTGCTTTTTATTATTTATGAAATCAAAGCACATTGACAAAACTTGCGATGGCAACGCACTTAAGTTGATTACACTAACATAAGCACCGCCATCGAACATAAAGTAATTAACACAGATATAATATTCAAGGTAAGGTAATATGCAACATCAAAATAACACAAGAAGTGTACACAGACAAACAATACAAAGTAAACATATTGGGGACAAATAAGTTATAACTAAATACGCTGTCCCACCCCCGTTACCGTGACATTGCAAGTACTAAAGTGCAATATGGTAATATTGTTAATTTAGGAGGGTTCGAATCGGTTTCTTTTAGATGAAATATTGGGTAAGACACAGTTGTTCTGCAAGTTTGTTCCTCAGCTGAACACTGCAATGCTTATCCTGTATCTGTTTCTGTATCTATAAAGCCGGTATAATCGCCTTTCGATATAACACACCAGCTTCGCAGGCACGCGGCGCGGCGGCAGCTGACATGTTACACCTTACCCTTGAACATCTATCTCGAGACATTTTTAAAGCTATCTAATGACAATGCCCCTAATGTACTTGGTGATAGCGAGTTCCACTCTGCGATACGTCTAGGAAAGAATGAATTCTTGAACCCCCCAATCCTTGGTTGATAACTCTGGTACTTGAAGGCATTGCTATTTCTTGTTCTCTTCTGGGCTTGCATGTATTAGGTACTTAGGAGTTGGGACGTCCACCAGCTTATTAGTCATTTTGTACATCATGCATAGTCTGGACATTTTCCTTCTGTCTTCCAGTGACACCACAGTAGTTTTCTTTTCATTTCCGTGACACTAGCACCTCTTTCATAGTTAATACAGAATCTTGCAGCTTGATTCTGTTCCCTGTAAGTAGCTCCCCTGACTCACTGCAGGCAGACTGGTTGCCAGTGGGACAAATCATCCACCGTATCACGATCAATGTTTTCCGATGACCCACATCAACGTGAGTCATAAAGAAAGCTATAAAAGGCGACCCTACTCCAGCGACTACCGGTCCGTGAACCCCAATGTACTTTCCCAGGCGCCAGGACGCCTGCCATGCATATTGCCTCTTGTCATTTCTCGGCTTTGGGCCATTTAAAACTTTTTCTAGAGATATAGAAATCGATAGATGGTCTACTGCAGCTGTTTTACCATGCATGATAACGATCTTTGGCATCACAATTTTTCTGACTCTCGGTTCAACTGTGCCATTTGTAAATTCTTATCTTGACAAAGTTGTAAAATAAATGCATTGCCTGGTAAACTGAATTGTCCAGACTCAAGACTAGTTTAAACATCTATTCTGAGAAATTGTTATAGTAAGTACCAATAGTCTAGTTAAGGCGTGGCGTTTTTGCTAAGCATTACAAAATAAACTCTCTCCAAGGTTGAGTTAAACGACGTCACTTTGTTGCCTTGTCCAGAGCACATCATAGCTGCTTATTGATGTATTTTATTGATGTCTTTTGGCGAATAATACTTAATACATGTTTGATTTCTCTCAGTCTTACAAATGACCTACGATGCAAGAAAAATACATAATAAAATCAAAACATTTCCTTTTTTGAAATTGTAACAAAAATATTTCCATAATAAGTCAGTGAAATGTTAAGTAAGTTTAACAGCTGACTTTCTTTTATTCTTCAAGTTTCATTCTTGAATAGCTACCTGTGTGAATAGCATTACACAGTCATAGAATTGACAGAACACGTACATTATAAAATACAACTTGCTAAATACTTGTTTAAAAAAGACACAGATGTATAGAAAACATCCTTGTAAATGTAGATTCGCACCAAAATCTACGACGTCTCTTGCGTTAAAAACAATGGTCTATCGGAAATTTTTACCCACTATACTCTCATTGCTCAGACATTATATAGTACATAGAGTTCTGGGCAAATCTCTACTATATATAGATATATAATTATTAAAAAAAAAACTATATAAGATTATGTACTATGGAATAACACGCATATACATGGTTATCTATGGTGGGATTTCAAACATTTCCGCGTTACTTTAATACTGACATACTGTAGTCATAAAACATACTGTAGTCATACGATTAAGAAATACTCTACATACAAATTATATAGGTTAAATTTGATTACAGCGCAATAATTTGATAAAAATGTTACCCCCCCCCCACACGAAAAAAAGAAACAGTCCTAAAACAATCAATTCATTTTTAGAATTGTACTATGAACTTGTGCACACCATTACAGAGTGTTAGGATCATCATATATAGGTTGGTCATCAACCTCAACCATCGGGTTGTCGTACACCTCTTCAGCCGTTTCGTCAATGGTGTTCATCCGCGCCTTTTCACCCCCCGCCTTTGTTGTCTGCCCGTCTGTAGCTCGTGACTCGGGAGTAGGGACGGTCATGTCCTCTTCTAGCCGCTGCCACGGATACTTGACCCTGGCCAGTAGATGCATGAGGGACCACACTCGGTGTACCTGTAAAGATTATGGATTTTGTGCTTTTGGTAATTTGGACAGATACGTTTGCATACATTAGCACGATACGTAGGCCCTGATTGGTTAGTGGGAGTAACCAGTCCGTGAAGAACTATTGTTAGCGACAACATTTTCGCCTCGGTACGCACAGTCTAAATCAAAGCTTATTCTCTCGTAATTTAGTTTCAAGTCCTGCTTGTTACTGTGGTCACCCATGTGACAACATTTTCACTTTTCACTTTTTGTTACACTACCCTAACTACACTGAGTACACTCAACAACGAAATACTCTTCTTGGCAAATTGAAAACACTAATTGGCTTTATTACTGACTTGGATGATCTTTCAGCTGATATTCTGGTATATTTACTTTTAAGAGGTTCTTCTTTTCTCTCAACAATGTACAATACTCAAATACTGCTGCAAGTGCAGACATTTTTGTTAGAATTAAATAGTTTTTTTGTAACATCTCGATCAATCATGTCAGTATTTATATACTTCTTTCACTTGTTAATTGTTTAATAATTGTATTCAATTTCTATATGATAACTCGTGCTTTGCTTGCTTGTATTACGTATTGTCTGGTGGCGACATGGATATAAGTGTAACTTGAGTGTGTTGCCATCACGTCTTGTCACTGTATGTTTCAATGAAAAAACACTTTGGAAGTGACAATTGCTCTGTGAGTCAGTTCGTGACCCGGGACTCAGGCACGTGTACATGTTTAGCCGTAGCTCTCTGTAGATTAGTAGATTGTACAGATTATAGTAAATCATCTGCATTGTATCCTAGACCATAAATCGCTCTATAACTAAGTGGTTAACTTATTGTAAACCATTAGACCCCAAACCTGTTAGAAGTCTAAACATGTGGATTAATAAAGACGGCTTCACAGAAATAACAAAACTCGTGTGGATCTCCGTTTATAGTAAGTGATATATAGACGCTAAGAGACCAAACACTCACTAAGACTTTAATTAAATATTACATACACAGAGGGGTCATGTGGCGTAAAAGCAGATTGCTCGACTCGGAACCAAGAGGTCCCGTGTCGGAGTCCTGACGTGCCACCGATCTTGTGCCCTTGGGCAAGGCACTTCACCCGACTTTCCTCACTTAACTCAAGTGAAAATTAGTATTGTCCTGTCCTATATAATTGTCCTTTGCGTTGCTGGCTACATAAAATAAATTGAAAACAAAAATATAACGTACCAACATGGCCAGGAACTGGATAACGATGATGCAGCCAAAGACAGAGAGGAAGACCAGGCCAAGTGGATTCGTCCCCAGGAGCTGAAAACGTAAACAAAATCACTTTTCATGATCTCAGCTGGTTATTAATATTCCTCTATGATGTTTAACAAGACACGTAATTTCAACTCCTCGCGTATCATATTTGTGTGCTTGTGTTATAATATCCATCCTTGCATATATCATGTTGTTCCTTAACGGTAAAGCATATAACATATAGTTTGAATACATTGCTCGTTTAATATTTCAATCATTTGCATCGTACACCTTTTCATTATGAAAGTTCCTAGTCTCTCTACAATTAATGACACCCAGGCACCACATTAAAGGATTTCAAAACAGCTGAGTTTCAACCATTAATAGAGAGAATATCTAGGAATGAAATCTAAATTACATTATTCTTACTGCAGTGACACCTAGCGGCAGTGGAAAATAGAACAAGTCAGTATAGGTCTGGGGACTGTGGGATAATAGCCTTAGCCTGATCCATCGATTTTGATGCTCGGTTGTGTATAAATATGTTACTTTTGGTTATTTTTTTTACTGTTGTTGGTGTTTATGTCTATCTGTACAGGACACGTCTGTAAAGCAGTATATTGTACTGAGTGCGCCTACATTGTATAAAGAAAACAGAAATAAATAGACTCTACAGATACACTAGAATGTAAAAAAAGGTCCTAGAAAATGTGTAAAAAGAACACTGTGAACGCTACAGACCTGCAGGTTAGCCTGTTGGGCCAAGGTCAAGATCAAGGTTAGCCAAAGCGCGTTGGACACCGCCAGGATGATAAGCCAGGAGTTCCTCAGCTCCTCCAGCTGTTCCTTCAGCCCCACGTTCTGACTGAACACTCCGTAGTCCTGCTTTATACACTTATTCCTCAGTTTAGCCCAGAACCTGTTCTCCCTGTAAAGAAGTTGGTAAAATCGAGGGATTTTGCTTTAATTCAATTATTTTGGGGACTGTTTAAAGTTAAAACTTTTGGTCCGACACAAAGATTCTCTCACCTAGAGCTTTCGACCACTTACTCTGGTCTTCCTCGGTAGACTGACGCAGTGAAGCTTGTCACGTGGCTTCTTTGAAGTGTGATGTCAACACTGGGTCAAAGGCATCTGACTTTGTCTGCCCCTGTCGCGGTGATGGGCGCTGATGTATATGGCTTCCATGTGACAAGCCTCACTGGGTCAGTCTACTGAGGAAGACCAGAGTGACTGGTCGAAAGCTCTAATTGGGAGAATTTTTTGTGTTGGACCAAAACATTTTAAATTTAAACATGTAACTACCAACACTGATGAACGTTCATGATAACATTTTGGGGATTTCTTTCTGATACATTTTCCATTGATGAATACCTCGTACAAAGAAATCAAAGATACATTACAGTCATGTTTTGTGCTGACAATTCAAAATGTATCCTGGGCCTGTGAACGTCGCAAAAACACTCTTTTTATTATAGTAAAATACATTCATAAAATTAACTCAATTAGTATCAACCAATGAAATAAAACTTTGTAAATACCTGTACCGCACGTGATCCTGGGACACGTTCTCCATTTTCTGTGTTGTCAGCTTGCTCACCACTTTCTTCACTTTGTCGATTCGTTCATCCACTAGAAATCGCCAAAAATATTAACCCACGGAAATAATAAGTTTTTGTAAACAGGAAAAGTAATCATATGACAATATCGCATCGGTAAGAATACTAATGAAATTTATTATTGAATTAACACTTCCCTTGCTACACCCTAATGCACTTCTGGTCTCCCGTGCTCTATGCAGAGCATAGGGTTTGGTGCTCATGTCCATTTCCGTAGCCCTTGGGCGACACACAGTTGTGCAGGGCACTACAGCAGGGGGCTAGTCCGCTGGTAGTGCTGTGTGTTTGACCTTTCCACACTCTTTCTCATGTGATGAGTGCTAAGCATAGAAAGAAGTGTGTACCATTTTTTTGGTATGATCCGGCCGGGGTTTAAACTCACGACCTCCCGGTCACAAAAAGAGCACTCTAGCAATTGAGCTATTGCACCGGTCAAACTTCTAGTGCAAAGTATAGAGGTTATAATTCTCGTACTTACGTTCACTTGGATGGCGCAGTTTGCTTAGGGCAATCAGCATACGTTTCACGTGTGCTGTGAATTGAATACATAAATAAACGGGGTTAGTATCCATGTTAATATCCAATAGAAATTATCCAATAGATATAGTATCCAATAGAAACATGCCGATTGAATAGCAAATGTTTTGAATTGTTTCTCTAGGTGAAAATGTCTGAAAAATCACATGAACCTACTGAAATGTCAATTGTTTTTCCAAATGCTGTACAGAGTGATTATGAATTTAACGACATACCGGCTTTAGTGATGCCCAGATTTTCGCGTATCTGTTGTTCCTCGATGTTGACAAGACTTGTGACGTCATAACCCTCATACACAAACTTGTCATTGTACTTCTCCAGACCAATCATATCCAGCCATTCTTCCACTGTTTCCTGTGGATCATAGTTAGATTGGAATACTTCATATCTATTTTACATATATTTTAAGAACCAGTAAACTTTCTACAAAGGCATGTTAAGGAATATAACATTTAAATAATGGGGAACGGAGACGATACAGAATCTAACTACTTTTCACCCCTTACTCACATCTTTCAAAAGGGCCCGTAATTCTAGAAAACTAGTTACCAGAATATTGAAGAATATTATGATCATGGTTAGAAAAAATATCCTAATAGGTAGAAACATTGAACGAGTAGATATGCTACAAACTCTACCAAAACTGTACATTATTACTTATTTCATTGAAAAAAGAATATTGGCTCTAAGTCTAAGGTTAAACCAATTCACTTTTAAACATGTCGATTTTCCGCAGTTATTTTGAAGACAATGCCTTTATGTGATTTTTATTGTAAGCAAAATAGCTATACGCAGTTTTGCGACCAACACGAACGTACCGGCACTTTGATGTCGATTTGATACTCTGACAGTTTGTCGATCTCCCTCAGAAGGGCGGGACGGTGGATCTTCGTCACCCCGATAGACTCCAAATCCTGGGTAATAGCATTTGGCATTCGAATATATCATTTAGTTATTTAGAGTTAAAAGTTTTAGTGCAACACAAACAACGTTCTCTCAGCTAGAGTTTTCAACCGATCACTCTGGTCTTCCTCAGTAGACTGACCCAGTGAAGCTTGTCACGTTGCTTCTTTGAAGTGCGACGGCAACACTGGGTCAAAGGTATCTGGTAGACTATTTCTTTAGAGGGGTAAATGAGGCCATATACACCTGGGCCCATCACCCTTCAATAAACCGCGACGGGGACCGACATCGTCTGCCAGATACCTTTGAGCCAGTGTTGGCGCCACACTTCAAAGAAGCCACGTGACAAGCTTCACTAGGTCAGTCTACTGAGAAAGACCAGAGTGACTGGTCGAAAAATCTAGGTGAGAGAACGTTGTTTGTGTTGGACCAAAACTTTTAACTCTAAACACGTAATTACCAACAAAGATGAACTTTCATGATGGTATTAAGTTGTTTTTAACATCTAAATGCTTAAAGAAATACTTAAAGAAAAGGAAAAAAAAAACTTAAAGAAGCGTTATCACCGACCCCATCTGACATTCCTGCGATGAATGTGGTGTCGTCATAGCCATGTTGGAGAAAACAGTTCAAGTAGCGATCCTGCAAAAATGCATTTATGATTATATCAAATTATAACAAAACTAGAGAGGCCGACATTTGCTTGGGAGCAAATACAGCATATTTCAGTCCATCTCCCTCCCACGCAAAAGTGGACTATTCCAAACTTACCCCAGTACGGTAAAATTGGCAAAGATTCTCAAATAAATGAATTATATACAGTAGTAGTAGTAGGTATGTAATTGAGAACAAAGATGCAAGATCAAGCACATTGAATCTCGAAAGCTTTACTAGTCTTATTACAGGTATGCAAATACTGACAATGATGAGATTTGATACATTTTGAAGGTCTTAGGCACATAAAATTGAATGTGTGGGTCATTCCGCATGACTTGCATGCAATGTGACCTCAGGTAACCCGCAATGGAACACGTGTTCCATGGATGGAACCGGCCATTCTTTAGATAGAACATGGAACGGGTACAGTCCCTTTTTTTGCCGAAAATAGCCATTAAAGTCCTCCAAATGAGTCATTTGGAAGTGGTGTATGCCAAATATGTGACTGCTATTCTGTAGACACATGTTCAAGGTACCCTTATACCGAATTTCAGATCATTTGGTTGTAAAACCAGGGCTCAGGATCCAAAAATCCATTTTTTGGCGAAAAATGCCCCAAAAAACCTTCATAAAAATTGTTCAAAGGCATGTATCAAAAAAATGAAAAAAACGCCTGGGGGTATTGGCCCACTCTACCTCCATGCCAAATTTCAAGTCATTTGGCTGAATGATGGCGGAGTTGAATCCCTTTGACTGTTTGGCAGGAGGAGAAGGAGGAGAAGGAGGAGAAGAAGAAACACCAGAGAACACAATATATTTCATCCATACCATGGTATGGACTGAAATATAATAATAGAAAAAATTCCGTATATCAAATATCATACCCGTAAATCTTAATCGACAATTATTATCAAATGTAAATTCAAACAATTAACACCTTAGATACACTCATTGTCAGAAAGCATTCGACGTACATTAATACATCAGGAGTCTTTTTCTATATTTAAATTGTGTACACATTACCTTGAACTCTCCAGGAAGCCACATAGCAGTAGACAGTTTGTCGGTATCCAACAGGCTCCTCCTCCATGCAGATTGCTTTCTGGTGGCTACGAATATATACGGGTTATTTTTTTTTCCTTTAGCTGTAGCACTGTCTTGTTTTTCGTCAAAGTTTGCTTTTCCAACCCAGTAAATATATCTAGACTATTATCTTTAAATTTATAAACATTTAAACGTTAAACATAAACACTGGTATGGCAGATCTTGAAAGTTCTATAAATATAAATATAAATGATAAGTGGATTTTTAGGCTTTTTTTTACCTCTCCTTGCAAGACTTTGACCGGTACGTGGCTTAAACCATCCTGAAATTTAAAAAAAAAAACATGTCAAAAAAGGTCCATGTGCAAGAAATCGTTTCCTTGTACAACATTGGATTTGGTGATAGCAGTGAAGCAAACTGGTATTATGATGAAATTAGTAAGTTTATAATGTAAGTATTGTAAGCAGAACAATTTAGCTTAGATACCTGACTTCTGTACTCGTCTAGCACTTGGTCCAGCCTTTCCACTTCCTGCAAAAAAATAAAACTCCTAATAAATTCCATAAAATCCATAACATTATAGATCTTTATCAAAATCGCAAAAACATATATCAATCATACAATTAAAAACAATTGATGTAGATATACCATAAGGGCTAACAAATGAAATGACTTACATAAAGTACATGTTGTATATGGAATTTGTTTACAATAAAGGTTTTTACCTTTTCGTCCAAAATTGAAGGCCACTGCCCCAAGACCTGTGCAGAAACAAGGATTGTCAAAATTAAACATTCCTCCATATTCAACATTCGTTTTCTTGTTTGTTTGCTGCTTTCTACTGACCAGGGATTACCAGGTTACCCTTCTAAACATTTGCTTTATTCCAAATGATATGAATTTAGATAAGATTTAACGTGCCTGAAACAACACGTGAAATTAAATCAGCAAAATGTATACATAATATTTATTTATTTAAATCTGTACCTTTCTTCCTCTTTGGTTTTTCATCCTCCTCTTGCTCTTCCTCTTGGTCTTCCACTGATAACAGAAGGAAAAGATGAGTAAATAAACAAAACAATATACTTAATGGCTTTGGGTTTCTGATGCTTAGTTGAATAAACGCGACGTTTTGTCATTTTTAACTGGACACGTCGTAATAGTAGTGTAGAAAGCAGGAATTGTGACCTAACACCAGGAACGCATCTGGTGTGAATTAGATAATAAAGGACAGGGACCCACATGCCTTTGAATCAGTCTGGCCCAAGCAGTGTTCGAGTGTGGTCATTCATCCTATCAGCCTTCAGAATATAGAACAATATTTACTTCTGTACAAGCTAAAAATCGACACATGTGTCAATAACTTTCTTTATTTACATGTGGGAGATGTTACCTAATGGGGAAGATGGAGGTCTAGCCTGTGTTGTTGTTGGAGGATCCGGCTGGATCTCCTCTACGTTTGGTTCGTCCACCTCCTGTGTTGGTCCGCAGTTACAGCACCTTGCAAAAGGTAATTAGAACACAACAGTCAAAATCAGCTAATTTTCTTTAAATCTTTTCGTGTGCTAAACGATATAAGCCTTAATGGCGGATATACACTATAGTATACAGTAGAATCGGCACCCGAAAAAAAACCTGCAGTATAAAATATTCACAATTGTGATTAATAATATTAATATCCATAACTATGATAAGAAACCCTGGTATTAAAAATTCAAACATTTGGTATGGAAACGTTATTGGTTACGCATGTCGTTTTTTTCATACCTCCTCATGGCGTCCACAAAACTCCACCAGATTTCTGTCCAACTCTTTCCACTTCCGACTGTTTTTCCTTCACGTGTACCTGAAAAAAAGACAATAAAAGATGTTAAATGGGTTTCATAACATTGAATTATCTCTACCTCTAAAATCTCTACCCATGCACACGTGTAGTTTCCTTTAACTAACAGTAGTTTCCTCTGCCAACAAACTATCATTCGTAACGTAAATAAGTAATTTGAAATGTGTTTTTTTGTCATGGCCATTTTGATTCCTGACGCCTTTTACGCCTTTTTACATTCTTGACTATTCTGATAATTGAAAAAAACTAAGAGAGATGCCCTTCCCTTTTGTGTTGACAAAATTCGTCATTATCGAAAAAATAAAATTCCAATTGGAAGCTAAACCTTGGGCAATTCACGTTATATCTACCAAATGTATTGGCCAGGTCAAGGCATCAGAATAATAACAGGATAGAATCCGCCAAAAAATATATTTTTCGCAGACTGAATACATACAGAATCACCGAGTGATCCACCCAAAACCATATTTCCGTCCCGGGAGTAAACCTCAGCCTTACCCCAGCTCCTGTCGTTAAGGTTACAGATGCTGTAGATGGTGAGCAGCAGGTAGCCTGAAGGCAGACAGAACAGGTACCAGATGCCGTGGATGAGACAGAAGAACTCGGTAGGATGCAGGAGGGCCGTAACGATGAAGATGGCGATGATGGTGAGAAAGTATATGGTACTGACGGGAACAGGTAGCACCAGTGTATCGGGGGGCATAGTTGGAACATCTGCAGCAGAAAAAAAAACGACATGAGGCTAAAAGTGATAACTTGACCATAACTGATGGTAGGTTATCTTCGGGTAGCTGTAATTTCTATGGATATATATTTTACAGTTTTACATGTTTGCATTTTTAACAAATAAGACATACTTTGAGTCATAAGTGTAAAAATTGTAGTAAACACTATGAAGTACCGAAGATGGGCTTTACCCTAGTTATTGGTTACTGGCCGTAGATCATGTAAATCCAAAAAGCTATAGCTAATTTTATTATTTGGCATATTATATGATTTCTTTATGATTTAGTCAAAACATAATACCTGTCGGCAGAGGTGGTGGACCAGATAGGCCCTCCACAACTTCCCTTGCGGTTCCCACTGTTACTGCAGCCATCACGATGGCGAAGACAAAGGTCAAAACTTGAGCCACCTGCAATATTAAAAAGAAAAGTTTTCAACAGAAATGCGTTAATGCCATTAAAATGTATCCCTAAATCAATCAAGATATCTGGATAGCTATATATAGCTACATATTGTACAGTATTTGTTGTTTAATGTATTATATATATATATATATTTTGATGTTTACTGTATAATATTTCATGTTAATAATGTTCATTATTGCAATTTGTTTTGTATTTAATATTGTAATCACTAATTATATTTTGCATGTTGTGTTTGGGAGGACAACTTGTAAATGTGTCGATGCAACTGTTTTGTGTTCCCTTCCACTTGTTTATCTGGTGGTAAACTCAAATAAACAAATAAACATACTACGGAAAAGGATTTGCCTGCAGTTGAAAAATAAATGATTTTGTTACATGGATTTATGTCACATATCACAGTGTTAGTTTCCGTACCTGTAGTTGGAAATTCTGAGAGGTGTAGAGGCAGATCATAGCATAAGCCACAGATGTCAAGACGAGAAGTACCATGGACACCGTGACGCTCACGTTATAGGCGTAGTTCAGCCCACCTGTTGGATAACATGATTAGAGGGTAAGAGACTTGAGGCGCGGTCGATTGTTGTTGTAACATTGTCGTAGGATTTGTTCGCAGGCTGTGACAAAACCTACCACTACGAACGTTCTAAGACGGCCGGTTCCGACACATAACAGCTACATTTTATAAAACAAATCCAAGGCTATTCCAAAGAAGTATTTGATTTGTGACCGGGAAAAACGATATGTTTTGTAATATTGCTTACATGTATCTTGAATTTTGTCATCGGTTACGTTGTGCAACATTTTAATGTATATTTACAGGATAGATTTAAATCGTAGGTTAATATGTCAACTCTAGATTTACAGTAAATGGTACTAAATTATAATTTAGAAGCCATGTTAATAAACTGGGGATCAAAATCATACCGGTATCATATAACAGTTTTCTTTTGGATCACATGTTGAACCCGACTTTTATATCATATTAAAAGCTCTACTTTTTTTTGTTTTATCGTCAAAGATTGAGACAGGGTCATATATCTAGGTTGTTATGGATCGCTCTTATCTTATTTTTGTATTTTGGGGTGGTACCTAGGCTAAAATAAACTACCATCAATCGACATATATTCACCAGACACAAGCAGGCAACACGTCCCTGGACCAATCAGCGTTGAGAAGAGCAACAGCAGCTGGTACAGGATGAAAAGGCGGGAGATGTTGGAGTTGTTCTTGACCATCGTCTGCCACTTCTGGATCATCAGGACCAGGTTGGCTACGGTCGAGGGCAGCCACCGGCGGCGCTGTTTGAAGAACTCGTCAAAGGTTTCAGGACAGAAGGTGGAGTCTTCAGACACGGCAGAGTACTCAAGTTTCCAGCCATTTTCAACCTAGAGATAAACACAAACATCAGCAATAGTGTAAGACAGCGGTTGTGCTGTTTGAATAAACTTCCAAGGCTCTTGGAGCAAGAATAGTGATTAAAAATAAAATACAGACCCGAAAACAAATTTAAAAGTCATATAACAACAGAAAATTTCTTCAATCTAAGCTAGCCCAATTTCTTTCCTTGATCATACACTCCAAAAATAAACTAAAATTCTTGCCCTTTAAATGACGCCAGGTGTAAACAACACGAATTTTAACACGCATACGTAGTTGCAACGTGGTCTAAAAATAGGGCATAAGTCAACACATTTGCAAACGCAACAAACAACAAAACAGTTGGCCTAGACCTTATTGCAGCGTTTCTACGTAAAACAACTGAATCTAATCAACCCCTGACCTTACTCCAAATTCCCTGTTGCGTTGAGATACATTATATTATAATCAAATAAAAACAAGGTCAAGTAACTGTAATTACCATGATACAACATAGGAATAGATACGTATAACCGACGTTACCATGAGGGTACAGAGCCATCTATCTTCTCCCATGTCCTTGATGAGAAACTCGTTAGCCTTGGTGACGTGTGTACAGTACGTGGGGAGGGTGTTCTTCACGGCTTTAGCCCGGTAAACACTGAAACATCCGGGGCAGCAGAGGACCGTACCCAGCACATTGTTGGCACACTAAAAGATAATGATAAAAACAACTTACTTGCTATGTCGATAATCAAACAATTATGCCTTCAGATATCAGAGTTATCAACCAAGAACTGAGGTGCTCAAACTTGTATTTCCCCAAAACTATGATCGTAGACTGAAATTTGTTGCCACCAAGCGCAGTTGGGGGATATCATCAGTGGAAAGCTTTAAATAACTCCTGCAATTAAATGTGCAAAGATTGAGTGTAACAAGTCGTTCGGTGTGATATAGCTAGCTGCCGCCGCGCCGCGTGCCTGCGAAGCTGGTGTGTTAAGCTGAAGGGCGGTTATACCGGCTATACTGATACAGATACAGAATGTAGTAATTGTACATTCACACTCTTGCAAAACGTAAGTTGAACCTTTCCTTCGCATTTTCTTACTTGATTCAGATACGTCATTCTATTAATTTAAAATCAGTTTTGTCATTTGTTACATTTATAAATATAATAATTTGTTTAGTCATTTCGTATATATGATGCACGCCTACAATATGCCAAGCTAACATTTGGATATCGACAAAATGATCATTTCTACGGTTAGGGTATGAAATTCGTTTACCATTAAAATTAATCTACATTGTATAGCGTATTATTTCTGAATTTAAAAGGAATCCTGGTTTAAAGCGCAATGTCACTTGTGCATTAGCGTGGCAAAGTGGCGTCGGTGGTGCAACGGTTAGAGCGTTAGACTCGGAACCAAGAGGTCCCGGGTTTGATACTCACTGTGGCCCGACGTTGTGCCCTTTGGAAAGGCACTTAAAACGACTTCCCTACCTATACGGTGGAGTGACGCCCACCGAGCCTCTTAGGCTAATCTGTCTAACTGTGTGCCAAAAACACACTACGGATTTGGTGCGCCGATGTGACAACATCTGCACATTGGCCACTGAGATCCCTTTTTGTGTGCATTAGCGCAGTGCAGAAATATACACTAGCAATAGTACAGCTGTGTGAAAAATAATATATTATCTACTGATACCTTGTTAAGCCAATGTCCAATGGCGTAGTCGAAGATCTGGTACCACGCCACAGCTCCCGTTCCCAGGGGATGGGTACGAGCGCACACGGCCCCCACGGCAGGGTCACGTGCCGTGATGTCCAGTAGGGCCTTGGCGGCGTCAGGGTTAAACTTGACGTCAGCGTCTGTCACCAGCAGGTAGGTGTTGTCCAGTTTGTCCTCTATAACGATTTGAAGGTCGTAGTAAAGTGATTCATTTAAATATCCGGTTTGCCTCATTTGCATACTTGTGACATGTAAATTGAAACGTTTCCAGAAGCACAGTGATGAATACAAATAAAAGGACATGGACTAAGTGACTGCGAACTGAAGTTAGGCACAACTTATATTCTCGAAGCTACTTTAACAATAAAAAAAAACGTTTACAAGACATTTGAAAAACTATGGATAGCATGAGTCAAACCTCCCATCCCAGAAGATAAGGAAAGCATAAAATGACACATACAACTAGAAGCGTTTTGTTTCTGTGATGTAGTTTTGCGCGGCTAACATAATTTCACAGTTAATGTGATTCGAACAAAGAAAAACTAAAAATTATTTAGCATTGTCCTAAAGTGTGTTTAAATTAATAATGTGTCCAAGTATGCTTGAAAGTTTGCCTATAATGATTTGAAAGTCATAGTAAACTGATGCATTTAAACGTATCCGGATCACCTCATTTGCATACTTATGACATATAAATTGCGATGTTATTTTCAATCAGAAGTATGCAATTTTTTTTTGTACTGCACCTAATGCATGGTGCACATATTGTTGTTTCTTGATTTCGACCTTACCCGGATTGTATCCAAGGATTTCCAGCCGCATGCTGCAGGCATTATGCCAGTCGCTAGGGGTCGGACAGATCTTGAGGTAACGTGTGCAGATCGGTTTCTTGAGATATTGTTTAACAGGTGTATCACTGTCGCTGTTGCCAGTAAAGACCTTAAAAAGTAATAATGGGACGTTTCTTGTTTATCATGCAAAATGTATAAATAAAGAGCTTCACTTTACATACATATGTAATGGGTTTAGTGCAGGTCAAAACAATAGTTAGCATGTGCATGCAATATAGATCGTCAAAATTACAATTACTACAATTACAGTTACAGATGCCCCAGGACGACCACCATCTAAATGACCTTGTCCCTATTTACAGAGCTAATGCTACTGGACACTCTCTTAGAAAAAACAACAACATCAACATCCCCCCAGCCAGAACAAAAAGACTTTAGAACTCGTTCCTACATCAGTCTATCATACTCTACAATCAGACTGTATAAACTTGTCATACCTGGGATGTACTATTCATGTAAGCAGTGTAGTTGGTTGTAGTTGGTATTTATGTATATATGTATTATGTATGTAATAATGTTATGTGTTTATTTTAATGTAATGATGTAAATATCAATGCCATTCAGCCAACATTATAGTTCTATTTTGTATGTCTGCAATGTTAGTATGGAAATAAAGAATTGAATGACTACTGTGTGGTAAATGCATTCGGCTTCTGCTTAAAATTATTTGTGGACAAAATGGAAGAACAGATGTGTCATGGTAAAAGTTTCTCGAAACTAATAATCGATACGAATTGATCTGTATTAATTAGGTGTATAAAGTAAAGAAATAAATGTTGCATCAGACTATACATTCTATAATCCAAAAGGTCTACTACAAAATTGTACTTATTTTCTGTTCTCTTTAGATGACTATATCTACATGCTATACTTTGTCGCAAAATACTGTAATATCCAATGGATTATATTTTAAAAGATATTTTAAAGGAGACATTACTAGTATTTTGCAATAATGACTGTTTTTCTGCCCATTTAAAACAGCCATTTTGAATCATTTTGCAGACTGCAATGCCTCCTAGCGGATTTTTTAAAACTTCAGCTTGACGCAAAACCTATTGACACTCACCGTCGGTTCGCCGTCGATCCCCTCACTGTAAGTGTCCCATTTCACGCTGGTGGTACCCAGCCTACCGATGCTGCCCACAACCTTGCCCTGGTACTGGATCGTGTAGGATCTTACCCACTGGTCCTCTCCAGGTCTACCCTGGGTAACCACCCCCGTCACCATCTTGGTCTCGCCCAAGTCCACTTGAATGTATGGCTGAAGGTCATCACTGAGAAAATGGTCGAGGTGAAAAAATAGATTTATGTTGGTTTACGTTTAAAATGCCCAATGCATTGTGCCCATCCTCCCATACCAATAAGGCAGCTGCCTTGGCCAGTCGCTTAGAAATTTTCATTGGGGCATCTGATGCTCCCGTTAAAAGCTCGATGCATATGTCTATACCATTAATTGCAAAACTCAGTCCTATCTTGACGTTCCGATTGATTTCGTGTTCTCCGATATATATGGTTCCACCCCTTATTTTCTACCAAGTTGTGACTGTTATGTTATGTCTCGATGGCCATGTCGTGTCCAGTTTGATTTTTTTTTTTTTTTGGGG